GTTAATGTTATACTTCCATTAAGTATAAAATAAGATTTTGTGATATCCACTAGTGTAAATATTTTAAATTGAAGATCAAATTTATTCATTACATTCTTATAGGGTCGAGGAGTGTAGCTGTAAAAAACATTAAAATCGGAGCTAAAATAACCGTTAAATTGTGAATTTTCTTTTATAACCGTCGAAAACTTTTGTTCCGTTACGCAATCTCTGAATGTTTGTTTTTTACGATTTTTTACATATACAATCTTGGAGTGTGTGCAAATAAATTTGACGGTTGGATCGTTGAAAAACGTTTCGTAGAATGCATATCGAGTCAAAATGGTAGATCAAACAAACACTTAGAGTTAATGTTATACTTCCCCATCAAGTATAAAATAAGATTTTGTGGTATCCAGTAGTGTAAATATTTTAAATTGAAGATCGAATTCATTAAATGCATTCTTATAGGGTCAAGGAGTGTAGCTGTAAAAAATCATCCAAATCGGAGCTAAATAACCGTTAAATTTTAATTTTTCGTTTATAACCGTTGAAAACTTTTGTTTCGTTACGCAATCTCTAAATGTTTATTTTTTACAATTTTTTACATATGCAATCTCGGAGTGTGTACAAATAAGTTTAATGGTTGGATCATTGAAAAAAGTTTCGTAGAATGCATATCTCCGTTAAATTTGCCTAAATTTTTAAGTGGGAAAAGTAATTTGTGCTAAATTTTTATTTATGTTTTTCAAGTATTGATTACACAAGATTTAGTTTGTGTGATGACATTTTCATTGTACAATTATCATTTTGTTTCTTTATTGCATATTTTACATTGGTTATTATCTATTAAACCAAACAATTATTTATTTAATTTTTAAAAACGTATTCTATTTAAATACATATTATTTATTTATTTATTAAACCAAACAATTATTATTTTAATTTTTAACATCGTAACAAAATTTTGGGGGGAATTTTGCCGCCATAATAAAAATCTTTTGTCTGTTTTTGTTTTAAAAAATGTTTCTATTGGTTTTTAATTAAAAAAAATTTTGTCGGTTAAAACCGACAGCAATGAAAATTTTCCAAAATAAAACACCTACATCTCTTCCTTGCGCCAGTGCCTTCTCCCTTCCCCCTTTTCTCCTCTCCTCATTTCCTTCTCCTTCTCTTCTCCCCTTCTCCTTCTCGCTTCAATCACCATGGATGCCGACTTAAAGTGGATATGTACTGGGGAGATATGGGCGTTGATCTCTGGGATGCATATACATGGAAGGAACAAACTGAAAAATATGAGGTGCAAGTTTTTTTTTTCTTCATTTAAAATATAGAGAAATGTGTATGTGATTAACCTCCATTTTATGAAACCTTTTCTTCAATGTTGTTTCCTCAGTTCATTTGGCCATTTCTTGGCTACTCTGATTTGTTTCATTTTTTTTATATATTTTTTGATTTGTTTCATTTTTTTATATATTTTTTCATCAACTGGTCACAAAATCACAGCAAAATTACAGCGATTTCCATGGAAATTTCCTGGAAAATCCACTGCCATTGAGATTCAGGAGGTTTAATTTTGTCAAAGAAGACAAGTCTGGAAGTTCCAGAAAACGAATTTTTACCCAAATCCAACTGCTCCAAGCTCGAGCAGTTATTCAGGTCATCCGTGAGGCTTCCGTACAATCCATTGGAGCCCAAAGAAAGCCTTTTTAATGATGGAAGTGAGCGGATTGCATGCAATGGAAGAAACCCGGAAAGGTTGTGCTGGGAGAGGATGATTTCGGAGACGAAGCCATCGAAGTCGCAGACGATCCCTGTGAAGTTGCAGACCCAATCGGGTGGAGCCCAAGTAGTGAAAAGACTTGGGTTTGAGGTTTCAAGGGATTGCTTGAAGTTTAAGAGAGGTTGAAGCTCGTCGGATGTGGATGGAGAAAACAGGGAGAGGAAGAGGGAGAGGGAGAGGGAGAGGGAGGAGGATGGTACGGAATATGAAAATTGCAAAAAGTGCAGTGAATGCTGTCATGTCCTTTTTATATTTTTTTATTATTAATCTATTTGTTGTCGGTTTTATCCGACAGAGATGGTCTGATTTATTATTAATATATTCCCTGTCGGTTTTATAACCGACACAAGATCTGTCAGTTTTATATTTTCTGTCGGTTTTAGCCGACAGAAAATGATCTTATTTATTATCAATATATTCCCTTTCGGTTATAACCGACACAAGTTCTGTCGGTTTTAGCCGACAAAAAATGCTATTATTTATTCATTATTAATTTATTCTCTGTCGGTTATATCCGACACAAGTTCTGTCGGTTTTAGAGTATTTTCTGTCGGAAAATTCATTTCCTGACGTAGGCAATTCTGTCGCTTATTATATCCGCCACTGCATACATTTTATGTCGGATTTTGCTTAAAATCCGACAGTAACATACATTTTTTGTCGGTTTTTGAACCATCAGTTATAGATAATTTTGTAGTAGTGATAGGCTCCTTTTCAATGACCAAAACTTGCCATATATCCGTAATTCTAAATAGTGCAAGAGTTTCTTGTAGTGATATCTGCCGTGTATCTTCATCTCCAAATCACGTAACAAAAGTAAACATGCCTGAAGACTTTCTTGTAGTGATATCTTCCGTGTATCTTCTAACATTTGAAAACCAAAAATCTAAAAAAAAAGAACGTGTGGCAGCTGGGGCACAGTGTGCTTAATTTAGTTGAACAACTCGAACACGAAATAACGGTTCGTTGCTTGTAGCCTGTGATAATGCAAGTGTGTTTACATTGGGGTGTTCAGTCCTATGAATGTGCTTCATCCTACATGGCACTTATTACTAAAGGTATAGCACAACTAAGTATTTAATAGTTTACCAAAATAAAGCAGCCAACCTATTTATTACTCAAACAAGTGTGGCAGTTGTCGTGCCTAATCTGCTTGAGGAGAACAGCAAAGAATTTGAGATAATGGTTCATTACTTTTATTTATGGGGTCCTCCAAACCTACCTAACCCAAAAAAAAAAAAAAAAAAAACACGTATTTAATAGCAAATAATTAAACATAGCGATATTTCACTTGGGCTTCCATTACGCGCTTCAACTCTCCACATGCAAATTAGGCCCTGCGAAATGGACAGAAAGTATTAAGGCAACTGGGTCAATGAGAAGGAGATTAAGAATTGCGAGAGATGGGTTACTTAGAGGAATAATTGTGTTATGGTGACTTCGTGTGAAAAATTATCCTTTTACAACTTCGGAGACTTGGACGGCATTAGGGTTGGCCATTTGTGATAAGGAGTCAGTACTCGTGTCATGTTATTTTGTATTCGTGTCAAAAAATAGTTAATTCTGTAACTCGATTTTTGTTGAAGAGATTTTTGTATCATGTGTAAAGTTTGTAAACTTTGTATCAATGATGGAGGAAGGAACTAAGTGACTTTCTATATTGATCAAGCAGTTATTCAATAGGCATGCACCTTTTGGTTCAAATCTCTTACTCAAGGGGCAATATTTCATTTGAATCACATCTCTTTATGAAATATGGTCTTATAATGAACCTAAGCTTGTGTACGTTTACACATGAACTTTTTCATAGCAAGTTCTTCAGGTGATGGTATGGTGTTTACTTTGTGTTTCTTGAGGGTTTTGTGTTTCTATTAGTAGTTAGGCGTTAGGCTCCCCAATGGCGGAGGCACTATAAGCCTAGTATAGGCATAGGCCTACCCTCACTTTTTCATCATTTCTAAACAATTTATATTATCATATCCTTATTTTTTTGGTAAATTTAACATTATATTTCTTTTAGTTCACAAAATTCTTAAATTCTATTCACTAACAATTAAAATAAGCGGTCTCTTTTTCTTTTCAATTCCAACAACACTCGTCTTAAAACAAAACGTAACATCTTATTCTATAAACAAATCAACTCTTAAAATTAAAATGTAAAGTTTGATTTAGTATTATCAAAAAATATTCTTCACATTGTCCAAGCGATGAATAATGAACTTTGAGTTTTCGTCCTTTCCTTCTTCAAATTTCATATATTTTATCCTCCAAATTACAACCCACAACAATATTAAGGTTTATAAATCTCTCTAATCTCTCTAAGCTTTTACTAAAGTTTAAATTTTCATTTATTTATTTTGTTCTCTAAATTCTCAATCCATTTTTCTCATTTTTTTTGTTCGAAAAGTTTTCAATCCATCCTATTTTTCATGACTTGATATTGGAAAGTTTATTTCTCTTAATCCTCCCAAATTTTTTATTAATTACTCTCTATATAATTTCCACATGAAAAAAGCATTTAGCGCCTCAAAAATTTAACTAGCTAACAATTTAGGCATGTATTCCACGCTCTTATAAATATTATCGATTTGTTTTATTTTTTTAACATTTATGTGAGGCCCTTCCTCACGTATATGTGCCACTGGGTCTCCCGTCCTTGAGGAATCGTTCTAAAGAGTTTGTTTTTAATTGAGTTTTTTTTTTTTCGCTGTGGTGTTGTTATTTGTTCACCTGGCAAAGGACTATGAGGGCATTTTCGTGATGCTCATAAAAAAGCTTCTTTGCTGAAAAAGCGTCATCTTTTGCAAGTTCATAAGATGGTAGTGCAAGATTTTGTCCTCGTGAGCGTTATCCTTTCGTTACTTTTGGTTATGTAGGGTTGGTCTTGTTTCGTCTTTATGTCGCGTTTGTAATATTTCTGATCGTGATGTTCTTCATGAGTATTACAAACGTATGTGATAGAGATTTATAAATAACTCATTATGAGTAGTCATTCACAAATTTCTCTATCAAGTCTTTTGTAATGATCATGTGGTGCCTTTTTAATTCTTTGCGATGCATCGCTTCATCACTATGCCTGAATTCCTTAGAATTTGAGTCCCTCGTCCAAACGTGTGACCAACTTTATATCTGTTCTGTAGACCCATAGAAGTAAAGCCCAAGGCCCATGGTTAAACTCTTAAAAATCATCACTCGGCGCGCGGTTTTTGTTTCTCTGTAATTCCCTCTCATCACCTCCATGCGTGGAAGCAAATGCAAGAGACTGAGGGAGAGCATGACCCTAAAGCCTGCTTTGAGGCCCCTCACACAGTCCTACACGAAGCCAGCTCCCAAGCAATACCACTTTGCCTATCATACCAATCATCTCGGCCGCCCTCACGCGCGCGCGGTTTTTGTTTCCTCTGTAATCCCCTCTCATTACCTCATGCGTTGGAAGCAAATGGCAAGAGACTGAGGACGAGGCATGACCCTAAAAGCCTGCTTTGAGGCCCCTCACACAGTCCTACACGAAGCCAGCTCCCAAGCAATACCACTTTGCCTATCATACCAATCATCTCGGCCGCCCTCACGCGATACCCTTCACTCCGAAAACGGAGAGCTTGGTCTCGGAATAAGCAAGACAAACTGTTCGCAAACTCTCGCAAGAGCGTTTTTAGAATCCAGTACGTCTTTTCGATCATCGGAATGACTGTAAACCCATAAGCGATAACCTGTTTTGGGCTTTGCGGTCTGGAGGAGGCTAATTGGCGATTCTTGTCTTTCTGTTCTTAAGGTTTGTGGATGTTTATCTGATCAAGTTGTGGGTAAGCTACTGCATTGTCAATGTGTGAAATCTGGGATTGTGGAGGACGTTAGTGTTGGGACCTCACTTGTTGATATGTATATGAAAACTGATGGTGTTGGGGATGGGAGGAGAGTCTTTGATGAGATGGGGGATAGAAATTGAAGTGTCCATGGACATCGGTTAGTGCGTTAGACTTAATTGAAAATGAGTCCAGGCTTTTGTTTTCGGAAATGTGGAAGAAAACTCGAATTTCATCCTGGATCCAGTGGTATGGTTAGAGGGAAAATTTCAGGATTGCTCGGAAAGATCATAGTGACACACTTTGATTAATTGTATCAATCAGTGAGAAATGATTATGAGAAGACATTTGAAGTTTGATTCACTTATGATTGGACATTCATCGTTTGAATAAAGCGCTACCTTTCGTTCCAGAGGATATTGTTTTTTAATTATGTGATCTATAAAGAATGGTATTTGTATACGCTCAGTGCCGGGTTGAAGACTACTTCATTTCCCAATATTAAACACCTAGGTGCACAAAGTGTGTAAAAACTTATAAAATGTTTCTCTATGCACTGCAGGTGACGTGTAACTGGACGGCATTGATTACTGGTACTGCAGAATGGGGGGAAAGCATGAAGTTTTCTACAAACATCGAGAAGGTGTTAGACCAATGAATTCTACCTGCCACCTATGTCGTTTTGTATAGAACATGATGTTCATTAACCATATGAGAAGTACAGATTCTCATAGTGCAATTAAAGGGAAATGTCTGAAGCTTAAAGGCTGTTTTCAAATAATTGTTTAGGAGGACTGTGGCACACAATGCTTCGGTTGCTCATATTGGGTACTTGTCGGAGCTGTCAAACTCCTCCGTTTAGGATCAACCCTTATTGTTATGAGTCAGTGGCATTGCGTTGCTGCACCTACATCAGCGGTAGAGCAGGGCAAACAGTTTCATGCATGCTCAATCAAATTAAGGTTGGAGAATACTTTATGCCTAAGCAGTGCTCTTGTCACCATGTATGCAAAGATGGGGAATATTGAGAGTGCAAATGAAGTTTTCAAGAGGCAAGGAGAGCGAGACTTAGTTCATGGAACTCAATTATCTCTGGATATGCTCAACATGGTAACGGGAAGAAGGTTCTTGAAGTATTTGAGGATATGCGAAGACAAAATTTGGAAATGGATGGTATAACATTCATTATTGTGATATCTGCCTGTACTCATGCAGGCTTAGTAGATGAAGGTGAAAAATACTTAAATATTATGGTCCAAGATTACCATATTGATCCAACAATGAGACTTTTTTTACTTTTATACAGCCGAGCGGGAAATCTTAAAGGCATGATTCATAATGGATGCCAGTGATGCAGGTGCAAATGTTGGGAGTTTTGGTCGTTGCGTATCACCGCAATTAGGATGGGAAAACTCGCTGCAGAAAAGCTCATTTCACTTCAGCCACATGATTCTGCTGCATATGTTCTGCTGTCCAATATCTATGCCGCAGCTGGAAACTGGCAAGAGAGAGCTAAAGTTAGGAAACTCATGGATGAGAGAAAAGTGAAAAAGCAACCCGGGTATAGCTGGATTGAGGTGAATAACAAGACCTACTCATTCTTGGCTGGTGACAATTTCTTATGCATGTCAGACCTATATACAAAGCTTTATGAGTAAATACGATTTGTGCCATGGGTATAGGGACACGGATTATGTGCTTCATGATGTTTGAAAGAACACAAAGCAGCCGACTTTCTTAAGGAGTGGGGTTGTATTGCTTTGGATGATTGCATCAACCTCCAGGGTCAGATAATTCTGAAAAATCTTAGAGTTTGTGGTGACTGTCACAATGTTATTAAGTTGATTTCAGGAGAAGAGGGCATTATTGTTGGGTCAAAATCGGTTTTCCACATTAAGGTGGTTTATGCTCGTGGAGACTATGCGTGAACATCATCGGAAATGGGTTTAAGTTTTTGTGTTCCCAATCGGAAATACATAAGAAGCACTGGATGGATCCATCCTTATGCTACATAAAGTTCATCAGGGAAGTCATATATGGTGATAGAGTTTGTTTTTTCGAAAATGAGAGTTTAAGGAACACAACTAGTAAAAGGATGGATCATACTGCTACACAAAGGAAATTTACCAAGGTGGAGTTGAGTGCATATCATTCCTATATTCGATTTCGGGTTAAAGAAATCGAATGGAATTAGCATGGAGGAGATCTCTAATGTTATGTATAGAATTTCGATATTGCATATAATAAACCGTTGAGCAAGGAATGGAGATTGATACTTGAAGGAGTTCTGATGTAAGTGTAATTAGATTCTCAAATCAGACCACAAAGTCGCATAATCACCAGGACTTGACTCCCAAACCATTTCCAACAGACTTTTGAATTAAGCAGTGAGGTCTCACCAAAAGTAAAAAGGCTTGGTTGTGGACGGCTCACTGAGGGGACTACATTTGTTATGATCCAGGAAGAGTTTGCATGGCTTACTTTTGTTAGTGTTCGTTATTCTCACTTTCATCGTATGCACTTGTTTTCACTATGAAGAGTCGGGAATTAGGTGTATGTTGCTGATTCATATTGATTTATCCACATATTGTGGGTACATTGTATAGGGTTGACAAGTGTAAATTAGCCCGAGTTCTTGTAGTTCTCTCGTGTGTGCTTTGCTGCGCCTGAGAAACATAGTTAGGGGTAAGAAAAATGTCTCCTGCAGTGCATGGTCTTAGTAGTAAATCAATGGAAGGCGGATATCTTTTGAGCAAAGGAAGGTGGAGTGGAGAAATTTGGGAGAAAATCAAATTTTGGATTGTTACTTCGGGGCTTTGGTTGCTGGAGAGTTCAAAAAGTTGTCCCTTTTCTAGCAATTATTTGGACTGGGGAGATCTTGTTGATGATTACAATTATGATACTTGTAGTGTGTTCTAGTTTTTGTTAAAGCTCGTTTCCTTTCTTTTTTCTTTTTCTGGTTAATGTGGGGGTTCAACTTTGTTACCTTACCTGTTACTGATGTGAGCTCCTTGTCCACTTTTGTTAACAGAAGCTTCTGATTTAATAAAGTTATTTTCTTGTTCAAAAGAAAGGTCATGTTTCTTTTCAGAAGAGAAAAACTTATAGATAACGTGCATTCGTTGGCAATAGTTTATCTTTGCCTGTGGTATTGGTTGGTTAGTCCATCAACCCAGGAAACTTTCATGCCACAACTCCGTCCTCCTTTGATGACAGGACTGATTCTTGGTGGTTGCACTATCCCACTCTATATACAAACTTCCTTCAAGAATTGTTCACGGTTACCATAATTTAGACACTTGTATATAGCCCAACTTTTTAATCGAAGTTCGAACTTTGTTTCCCCAAACTAGCTGCTTCTCACGTTTTGATATTCATGCGCTGACTGCTAATTATCGGACAACAAATTTCATGGCCCGAATTTATGATAGCCGAGGCATTACATTGTTGGTCTTGGTATCTGTTTCTTATTATTGCTGTGCTCATATCATCAGGTATGAATTTCTTGTGAATGTATCATAGACGAAACCTTTAATTTTCAAAACTGAAGACGAAAATACCAATAATCAGTAGTGATATATCGTCATTATTAGAAATTATTGAAGCTAATGAGATAGTTATCTGCCGCTAGTCTTGCAGTGTTGGCTTTGCAAATTGAGACAGTTAGAAAAGGAGTCTAAGCGGAGAGGAGAACAATTTACTGGAGTTGTGCATGCCCACTGTGGATATATCAAGGTATGTACTCCGTATCCATAACCGCAGAAATGCACGTTAGAGGGAGTAGCAATTGGAATTTGATATATTACACAAGTACATTTCTCCTCTTAGCGTTGGATGGGACACACTCACAAGTTTCAGCTATGATTTAACATCTGAAATGCTGTGGAACTTTGCCTTCTACAAGTTGCAATCACATTGGAGACCAATTAGGACTCCTACGTTTTGAATTCGTTACTCCGTAATCCAAGCTACAACACAAAAGCTTCCATTACTATTCTTGAAGGAGTCTCTACGTGAACGAACACTTCCCAGTCCTTGTAACCGTTAGTTCACGTGGTCTGTGAGACTGGTCTTACCCTCCTGTAAAATAGAGTCATTGCTTGCAGCTTTACAGTTACTCTGTGACTTGCTGCCATAATAATAACATCCTCTTCGAATACGAGATAAGGTTTTTCCACATCATTTTTGAACCACCGATCGATGGAAGTTAAAAATTATGTAAGAGGGGTTTAGGAGTTGTGTTCGAAGTGGCAGTGCAAAAACTTACTTCCTGTAAGGTTTTCGTTGCATGGGGTAGCTCCTGTGCTGCAGAGAAAATTGATAAGGGTTCTATTGGTGAAGGAAAAAATCTATACTAGTCAGGATTTGATTTGCTGCAACAGGTTTGAATGTGTCCAGTATAAAGGGATAGTCGAAAGGATTAGTGTGATAGAGGTTTCCATTAATTGATCTACTTCCAATGCCTATCTGTTGAATTATCTTATGCATGTATTTAAGCAATAAGAATTCAATACTTTCTATCTGAAAACATATTTCGTGTTTGGCTACTTTGACAATGAAAACATATTTTCTGCAAATTTCATTCCCTGTTTCATTATGCAGACAATTAATATAGCTTGCTTGGGACTGGTGTAGAAAGGGTTAGTGTATTATTTATACAATTGCATACATGTGAGATCACGGAAGTCAAGGACATCCGTACGTCATGGTTCTTCTCCTCTCTATTATGGTAGATTCCTAACATGTCAGTGCAGCAGTTGCCACCGTGAGACCATTGTGCTATACATTCACTTCGACTTGTCTTGTAATATCTTGCTGGCAATAGAATATTGTACCTGTTTTTATTTGTGTTAGAGTCACTTTGCTCATTTACTTTAACCCATGATATAGCACCGGTGATGCACCTTTTTACGCCACACTCCGCAATCAGTTCTTGAACTTGTGTTTTACCATTTTTTAAAGTTATAATTGTATTGCAAGACTTTACTTTTGATGATGTCTGGGTTAGATATTTGATCCCGGAGGGTAGAAAACTCTGACATTCGCGGTGCAGGTTTAGTGTTTAGAACTGTTCTCTCGCGGGGAGATTCTAGCTACTGGGATTCCATTAATAATAACATAAATTACTGTAAAATTTCTAATCGAGTTATCTATAAGTTCAGTATTTTTTTGTTTATATATGACTTCTGTGTCTGTCGATCAATACAGAAACATGAGCACAAAGCTTGAAAAGCCTTTCTAGTAACGTATGTCATTGGCTTGAAGCTCTGTGCTTCTTCTTTACCGATATAGGACCCTAGATGTCTTGACAACTTGATAAGCCAATGTCTCTTGAGAAATGGACCCGACTAAGAATCATTCCAGAGACATACACACTTTTTTCAAAACATACTTTTTGCTCTTTTCGATGTATCAGGAAGCGTTTCTTCGGACACATACACATTTGTCCCTTTAATTTTAAGGTAGCTTATAGTATTTTTCCTTGCATAAAGCTTGAGGAAAACAAACAGAAATGTCACGATCTCTGGTGAGGCAGAATAATTGACGTTACCAAGGTTTCATCTGCTTTCTGAAGCGTATAAAGTCATAGAAATTGTAAGAATGGTTGCCTAATTATTATGATATAAAGATCTCATATTTGGAGATACATATTTCGTAAAGAGTTTATGTTGTATTAACTAGTTAGTAGGTTACTAAGACACTACATACTCACTGCCTTTGTTAATTCATTATATAGAGAACTATGAGATGCGACTGTATAGAGTAATATTAGATAAGATGCGATAACTAATACCTTGGTAAAATTAGCATCAAATTTGAAAAGAAAAACTACCTTGCATTCTTTGTTGCAACTCCCGAGGCAGCTGCAGCACTTGCAGCTATCAAACCATATGATCTTTCCATTTTCAGTGGGTTTAGTGAGGAACCCTGAAATCACTGAGTTTATATGACCATCAACGTTAAGTGATTTTCGGATTGTTTCATTAAAAGGTTAGTAGAATCCGGATGCTAAGTTTACCTTTAAAATTCTTGAATTTCCCAGATATACGTTTGAATGAAATTCTCTATCCAATGTGCTTGCAGCAACTGTGAGAATCCAGGGAGCAACATTGCATGCAGTACTTGGAAAACCAGAGTTTCCAGCTGATGCAGAAACAAGTACTCCTTTCTGGAATGCATGGAAAGCCCCAATGGAGAGTGCGTTTTCAAAATAAGTTGGCTGCGGAGGATCAGGGCCAAGGGAAAGGGAGAGAATATCGACACCATCATAAATTGCATCATCCATAGCGGCAAGAACATCTGCATCACTACAGAAGCCAAACCAACAAGCCTTGTAGATAGCAAGTCTGGTGCTAGGCGCACCGCCTCTGGCAGTGCCTCTGGCCATCCCAAAGAAGCTGGCATTAGGTACCTTAGATCCAGCTATTGTTGAGGCAGTGTGAGTGCCATGTCCATCACTATCTCGAGCTGATCGGAAGAAGGGAAGAGGTGCATTGGACTCAAGAGGCCCAGTCTCTGCTTCGAATCCTTCAAAATAGAAGCGGGAGCCTATGATTTTCCTGCAAACAGAATACCAATTTAGAAAGTTGGACTTGTGGAACTGGAATTCTTTAGCGGCGAAGGCATGTAGGTTACCTGTTGCAGTTGGCAGATGTAAAGTTCTGACCGGTAACACACTCTCCTTTGAATTTCTCTGGCACAGGCCCTAATCCTGCATCACTGAAGCTCTCTGACTCCGGCCAAACTCCTGAGAAACGAAGGTAATGAACTGATCACAAAACAGTATAAGCAGAAGAGCCAGATACGAAAAGAGAAATTGAAGCCATACCAGAGTCAATCACACCAACAATAACATTGGATTTTGAATCCATTGGCATTTGATTGTACTGGGGAATGGAGTCTATGCCTAGAAAATCCCAGGAATGTGTTGTGCGCAGTCGGTTTATTCTGCTCTCAAACACAGAGATAACCGCATCGTTTTCTGTAGTACATGAACAGAAATCAATCTAATGAAGTTCTTGCATATAATCAAGTATCGTTATTTCATTTACTAATTTCTCAGATTAATATTCTTTCTATTGTTCTTGATATATTGAGTTTCGAGAAGACGGAATGCTACCTGAAAGCTGTTGAGCTTGCTGTGGTGTAAGCCTGGCTGAGAAGCCCTGGAAACTTTTACTGTAATGGTGAAGTGTTGCTTCTTGTGCTCCATCAACGCTGAGAATTATCCGAAAAATATACAAATCAATCTTACTGTACAACAATCTGCTTTGGCATTTTATGAAACTGAGAAATTGAATTCAGTTAACATCGTACCTTCCAGTGACTGAAGCAAGAATCTCATGGTTGGCTCTGACGACGGATTGGGAGTTCGAGTGCGAATGATGCCCCATGTAAACTATATAATGCTGCAACATGAAGGAAAAAGACATTCAAAATGCAGATCATACGTTTACAAAATGATTGCCTCGTTACTACTTTTGTTTTTTCGGTTACATTGGAAGGAACTGAACTCTAAACCTATTCTAGTCCTAACTCATTACTCCAAATCTCCGATGCCACTTGAGCTAACGCCAAGGGCTTTTGGGAACGTAAAGTTTTCGTGAACACTTGGGTGTGTACGCTATAAAATAAACCCGACGCCTTGAGTTAGAAGTTCGCTACCTTTTTGTTAGCAGTGGCTCCATGGGCCAAAGAAATGAACAAGACAAGAGTGAGAAGAGTAGTGAGTTTCAAGATGTAAGAAGATAGCATGATGGTAAAATGTTGGAAGCCACGAAATTCTGATGATTTGTTGAAGGTTGCAAGTTCATTATATAGTCCGGAAGAAAGTGTGAATTGGCCATGCCGACTTTTCATGGAATTTCAATAAAGTTTGCACATAAACGTTCCAAATTATATATATATATATATATATATATAATTAGAGCCGGCTTTTGTTGGTGTACAGGAGAAATGTTCAAACATGACCAGAAGAACCATGGTTGGACAATAGTGAGAGGTATAATGAAGTACTTTTGATCGCATTGAAAGTTTTATTATAAATTCAGGTGCTTCTTCAAATGCTTTTTGAATAAGCATATGGGAGGTGCTTTTACAAAAACACACTTTTATAACCCACAAACACTTGTAGCGTTTTTGTTTTTTGGATAAACTTGAAGTCGTTTTTACCAAACGCAGTTAGACACTTCTAATTGTTAAAAAAAGTAGCTTTCAAAACACACTTCTACAACCCATAAGCATTTTTTCGAAAAGCCAATCACATAAAATTTTAATTGTCAAAAAGTAACTTATCCAAAAAATACCTGTATAATCCATAAGTCCTTCAACATTTTTTACCCAAATACAATCAAATACGCTTTTAAATTGTCAGAAAGTGCGTTTAGTCCTTACAAGCACAATCTCAAACATGCCAGAATTTTGATCCTGGTAGTGGACGTACACTATAGTTTCATGAAAAAACATACAAAGGATCAAACATTTCCAAATGTAGCTTCCTCACAATACACACATTAGACTCCAAGACTATTTCAACCAAATATAAAGACACAAGTATAGTTATTTCTAATTAGGATTAAATAATTCACCAAATTCAAATTTGCTGAAGTAAAAAATCAACGTCAATTTTCAAAATTTGTCTAAGTTAGAAGTAGAACATGGAATAGTTATACGGTGTTAGATCATCTCTAAGGGAGGTAGCAATTAGATATTAAAGTTAAATTTGTTATGCCATGTACAAAAAAATGCATCCCGAACAAAGGTAGCTCTTAGATAGCAAAGTTAGATTTGTTATGCCACGTAGGAAAAACGCATCTCCAACATAGGTAGCAACTCAATTAGCAAATTGAAGAACTATCAACTGACATCGTAATTTACAATCTCAGTTGCTACTTCTTCAAGTTAGCAAATTAGGTCCTGCAGTATATTTTATTCGTAAATTTGAAGAGTTGATTGAACAGTGAGTTGGAGTGACAAATTTTTAAAGTAACATTAACTAATAAAAATGCCAAATGAGTTAGCAAGTGACACTTTTAAAGAATATTTTTGCTAATTCCTTTGGAGATGCTCTTAGAATGTGGATTATTTTCCTTCCTTTTAATGAATTTGTGCGAGGGATAAATCTCCATCATGATAATCTACCTCCCACATTCATCTTGACAAAATTCGACTTGTATCTGGTATCCAATTCAATCCTAAGCACCAAACGCGTCTTACAATAACCAATTTCCTACATTTTCAAACATAAAGAAATACTGGAAAAAAAAGATATCCTAATGAAATAAATCGAACAGTAAGAGAGAGTGGCACCGACTTCACATTGTAAGGATTTGGAAAAGGGGAAAAGGATGTTTGGGGAAATGAAAACTATAAAAATTGAGGGTGGTGAAGGGTTGAATTGAATCCCAGGTCATGGAACTCGGCCGGACTCTTGGAAATCGGCCGGACTCTGGATCCAATTCCTCCGAAGGCACACCGGCTCCTGAAACAGACATACCATTACAAGCACACAATATTAACCGAGAAACTGGAGGATCAGAGGAACGCCGGTGAAGCAACTAACTCGACTTCAAGTTAAAGCATTCACAAGATAAGTAAAAACATGTCTAGTTGACAGGAACGAACTCATTACAATGACAACTGATCACAAGATATAATATGACAGGAATCAGTAATTGTCCGAAGATACCTGAAAGACGCGAAACACCTGGAAACATACGAGAAAATTAGTTTTCAAAATTGAAAAAATTAATAGAAATGACCAACGGGGCAACGAGAATTATTGATGTATCAACATTCTGAAGCAATACTTTTTCAACTCTCCTTTACACAATTTGAAAACGAGCGATTCAAGATGTATCAAACACCAGAGGTTTCCATCTCAATACAGAAAAGGGAAGTCAAGTCACCTTCCTCATTGAAGAAACTCATTCAGAGTATGTAATTCATTAAATCCAGCACTTTGTAAAATAAAATACAAATCATGGTGACTGACGACAAGTGTGGATTAATGTGATATATAAGTGCAGAGAATTCGTCACCCTTCCTCTCCGAACTCTCTTGTGAATCTCTCATGGACTTCAAGGTCATTCTTGCTCACTGTAGGCCTCTGTCTAGCAAGAACCTTATCGAAATCTGTTTTTGTGATAGGAGGCGGAAGGATCTGCAAGGGCATTTAATAAGCAACAAGAATTACGTTGGAGAGCTTTCAACGCTGGACATAATTTTTAAAAGGAAAAACTTCAAAATTGTTCATCTGATCATTAATGGAATTCCTTTCTCATTTGCATGCATGATACATAAAATAGCAATTTCTTAAAACAACAAAAATTTAGCAGTCATTTTACAGATGCTTCCATTCCAAGTGAAATGTACCTCTCGAATCGATAATAGTAAAAAATATTAAATATAAATAGACAAACACTTCAAGAACTAAATTAATCATTCATTTGTTATTCTTAGTTGCAAAATTCTTATGCAAAGTAAGAAGGGCGTTTTTCTAAAAGTATTGTGTTTAAAGTGTTCTTGTCTAATGAGTAAGCTTAGCAGCTTATTAAAGGCTTGTACATGAAAAACCCAATAAAAAATTACTCGTTACTTCCTAATCTGGTATGTACAAAAGCCCCCACATATGTAATGTCCAGAAGCCGACAAGTCAGCAAATACAAAAATATTGTGCCAAAACAGGTATGCAAGTTTATCAACTCCAGCATTCAAACATGTACAAATACCTGTGACGCAAGTCCTTTTGCCGCCAGATCCTGCATGGTGATTTGGACAGCACCTGGTTGCTTTGGTCCACATGGTATCCACATATCCTTAGGATCCTTGAAAAAGAACATGGCATCTTGCGTTTTACGAACAGGTTCAAAGAGAACGTCTTTAACCTGCCAGTTTTAAAAAGAACAAACCAAAAAAAACCGGCGATGTTGTGAGCTATTCTCATTTAACCCTTTAATGCAAGGAACCCTAATAAAAAGGCAGGTGGTGCAAAGACAGAGATGCACACAGAAATATGAATGACTTGTGCTTACACAAACAGCAATATCGGAACCAGAAAAACCATCAGTTTTGCGAGCTAAGCTTTCGAAATCACTTTCTGTTAAGTTGTGGGGAGTATCTCCTAGATGCACCTGTTCAGAACATCCACACACACAAAAAAAGGAGAGCACAAAAGATTAGTAAATGTATAAGAACCATTTCAATTATTGCAACCAATAATTTTTTTTTTTTTACTGCCCCTGTTACGGCAAAAGAAAATGGATACAAAACTAAAGGAAAATGTCCAGTACTTTGAACATATGCTGTCGAGCCTTTAAATCTGGGAGGGGGATGTATATACGCTTGTCAAAACGTCGCCGAATAGCCTGTAATTTCTACCAGTTAGCCACCTTCATACAATGCCTCCATTAATTAGGGAAGAAACCATAAAAGAAAAATTCACATATATCTCCATACCTGATCTAGTGCATATGGAGTATTTGTTGCTGCAAGAACAAGAACTTTCTGATCATTGTGTCCCACACCCTAATATACATCACAAATAAGATCAACTGACAACATGAATGACTTCAAACCAAAAATAAATAAAAGTGAAAAAGAGACTCCGAATAGCAAATACTAGTAGGAATAATTATACAAAACTAGAAGTTTAAGGGCCTAAAAGGAATAATGAAGGCGCCTTAAGAATTTACTCCACTAATTCCCACAAAACAAACACATACCTGCATCTGCACAAGAAGTTCCGTCTTAATTCGTCTAGATGCTTCACTCTCATTGCCTTCTCCACGAGTCCCACATAAGGAATCTATCTCATCGATGAATATAATGGATGGTGCACTATCACGAGCCATTTGGAAAAGGTTTGAAACTAGCTTTTCACTCTCACCCATCCATTTTGAAACAAGGTCTGAAGACGAAATACTAGCAAAAGAAGCGGGACATTAAAGATTAAAAACTAGACATTTTGAAATTTTCTGGCCTAAGATCATAAAAAATAATAAAATTAAAATGAAACTAAGGAAATAAAATGAAACTAAGGAAAGCATAAGCACATGCACAATATATCTAGTAAAGTATACTAAGAGGATTTGTTGCATAAAATGGTAAAAAAAATTCTTTACGCAACTATAAACACCAGGGGTAATTAAGTTAAACACAGGTCTCAAAATAAATGCATTGGGACAAGACCTCAAAGCCGCTTAGGTAGACAATGAGACCTTGGTGGGTTTGCCGTCACATTTTACAAGGTCATCATTTTAATCAAAATATAATCCCTTTTCCTAGTAGCTCGGGTTAAATTTCTTGCTTATAAACAGCGAGAAGATGTGAGGGTACTCATTGTACCATCTCCCCCCGTGAGCCAACTCAACTTTGTACGATCACATACTTTCTATTAGAGAGCATCAACCAACATTCAATTAGTTAAAATAAGTCATCACACAAATGATGGATATATTACCTGAAAAATGTCGAGTCTGCCTCGGTTGCAACAGCCTTGGCCAAGTAAGACTTTCCAGTTCCAGGAGGCCCATACAATAGAAATGCCCTCCACGGTCGTCTCTTGCCTAAAAGTATGTAAGTGGGTACACATTAGCTTTTATAGATGAATCAAAAGCAAAACTTCACTTTGTAACAGATATAAAATGATGGATGATAAAGAACAAAAAGGGTGCTTCCCAATAAACCATGAAAATGATACTATGAAAAATATATAGTAATAATAAGGTAGTGCGATCAACACTGATAACAGATGAACTTTTGCTTCAGAAGTATCAATTACTCCATGCTGGATGATAAAATTGCAAACCTATCTGTAGTCTATTAACAACTTCAACCACAAAAACG